GAGTGCTGGGCAGCTGCTTTGGTTGGGCAGGGGAGGGAGGTGCTGGGGCAGCAGTGAGCAGGTCAGCAGGAGCATCGCCCTCCTGTGCCATTGCCTGTTGACACACCTGTTGAGGTGCAGGGGGAGGGAATGTGTGTTTGCCGTGCTTTACTTCTCTTTCAGTGTCCCTTTCTCTGCCTCTCCCTTTAGTGGACTTGTGTCTATGAATTCCAGGAAGGAGCTCCGGTGCGCCCCGTGTCCCCGCGCTGCTCCCTGCGCCTGACGCACTGCATCGAGGAGGCCAACGTGGGCCGGGGCTACATCAAGGAGCTCTGCTTCAGCCCCGACGGCCGCATGATCTCGTCCCCGCACGGCTTCGGCATCCGCCTGCTGGGCTTCGACGCGCACTGCAGCGAGCTGGTGGACTGCCTGCCGCGGGAGGCCAGCCCCCTGCGCGAGATCCGCTCGCTCTACTCCCACAACGACGTGGTGCTCACCACCAAGTTCTCCCCCACGCACTGTCAGATCGCCTCGGGGTGCCTTAGCGGACGCGTCTCCCTCTACCAGCCAAAGTTCTAGGCACAGCAGCGGTACCTGTGGATGGACATTTGTGGGTTTTACTTCAGCTTAGTGGAAGTGTGCTCTCTCCAAAATCTCTGAATCCAGAGGTCACGGTGACCGTGGTTTCGGGACATGATGATGGGAGGATTTTTCAGGTCAGCACCGTGCGGATCTTGGTCCTGCATCTGCGAGCCTGCGGCCCCGCCAGCAGCCCTCTGCTCCTGCTGATGCTGTGCCTCGGGGCTGCTGTCCTGCTGTGTTTGTACCCTGATACTTGATTGTTTCCTTCAGCACAACTCCACTGGGCTGTTTGGAACAACACAGAGGGGCAGGGTGCCCAGGTACTCCTGTCCCAGAGGAGCTGGACTGCCTCACCTCTGCTTCCTCTTCTGTCGCTGAAACAACTCTGTGGTGATTAGTAGAAAATGGGCTGCTTGTCTACGTAAGCAACACGGTTAGTTACTCTCACCAAAAAAAAAAAAAAAAAAAAAAAGGAAAAAAAAAGGAAAAAAAAAGGAAAAAAACCCAAACAAAAAAAAAGAAAGAAAAGAAAGAAAAAGGAATTTTGCTTTTATTTCTATGTTAATGTGGTTGTCATTGGCTAGAAAAATGAGTCACAGTGTGGCTTAGGCTGGCAGGGACCACTGGAGGTCACCCAGGCCCACCCCCCGCACAGGCAGGCTCCCCTCGAGCCCGCCACTCAGCACTAGGAAGAGCCTGGCCCAGAGGATCTCTCTGGCTTCATGCTGCAGGGCAGCTCTGGCCCCTCCTCTGACAGGGTTCTGTTGCAGGGGACTTCCCACATCACCCCACATCTGAAACATGCCGGCTTTCTGGTGATGTTTGGGTATTTCCCACCTGGCTGTTTTTCCACACACGCCTTGCCTGCACTCTTGTCGTGGGAGAAATGAATTTGGATGTGTCCCTGGTATCTCCAGATGAGCGTTTCTTCACATGTGCTGTCAGTTTGGGAGGGGATTAAAAGCAAACCTGTCAAAAGTGAGATCTGTCTGGATCTAACCAGGCTTGTCATCAGGTGTGAAACATGGTAATGCTCACCCCAGTGAAAGGGTCTGGAGGGGAAGCCGTAGGAGGAGCAGCTGAGATCACTGCATTTGTTCAGCTTGGAGGAACCTGAGACCTCATTGTGCTCTTGAACATCTTGTGGGGCACTGGAGGGGCAGGTAGTGATCTCTTCACTTCTGTGACAAGGGACAGGACCCAGGAACAGCTGGAGCTGGGCCAGGGATTTGGGGTGCACAGCAGGAAAGGCTCTTCCCCCAGAGGTGCTGGCACTGCCCAGGCTCCCCAGGGAATGGGCACAGCCCCGAGGCTGCCAGAGCTCCAGGAGAGCTTGGACAGAGCTCCAGGGATGCCCAGGGGGATTGCTGGGGGGTCTGGGCAGGGCAGGGTGGCACTGGGTGATCCCTGGGGGTCTCTCCCAGTTTAGGGTACTCTGTGATTCAATGGTCACACCCAAAGTGTGAATGCCACATTTCATCCCTCGAGTTAATAGAGCTAACCTTGTAAATGCACAGGTATTTCAGTCTTGTACATCCATATCAGTTTATAACATTCTTATCACTTACGTGTTCCAAGATGGGGTTTTTTTAGCATTTCACTGAAGTTTTGCAGACCAGTCACACACTCAAGTTCAGCAGGGAATTTTACCTGAAAGGACTGTCACCTGCTGGTGTTCAGGTTCACTCTCTGGCTCAATGGAGCACACTTGTTCAAAGCTGATTCTTACAAAGCCTTTTGCAAAACATATTTGGGGATAAAGACAACATTTATGGGCGTGAGAGAGCTGGAAAGGTAAGCCTGAGGACCCTCCTGTAGCTTTGTGTTTATGTGGGTTGTATACCCTGGTGTTGATGCAGAAATCATTGAAACTTCAGCCTCTGCATTATGAGAGGAAAAAATCCCAAGTTTCCTCTTTTGGAGAATTCCTTGGGTAATAGAAAGCCTTCAGTTTTATGTGTTTGGCAATCTGAAGACAAACATCCCTTCTGCTGGCCTGAGCAGGTGGGGCAGGTGGGTCTGCTGGGTTGTTAAAGCAGCTCAAGGCACTTCCCTTGGCTGTGGTTCAATGCCCTGGGAGCAAAATGTGTGGGAAAGCTGGGGACAAGCATGGGATACAAGACTTTTCTGCAAAAGAAGAGCTACAAGGAGTTTATAATGGGCCAAGCTGTTTGGGGGGAAAAAAGCCCAGGTCCTGCCCAGGGCCACAGCAGTTTTTCCCCAAGCATTTGCTGTCCCACTGCCAGGCTGCTGTTTTCTCACCTTATTTAATGTTTTATTACACATCATGGAAGAGATTACAGGGAGACTTGAGAGAATCTTAGAGTTCTCATGGGCTTGCACAGTGTTTGTTGTGGAGGGGAAGGAGCACCCACAGGACCGAGGTGGTTCTTGGGTAGATCTGTCTGTCTGTTTCAAGGCTGTTTTCTGTTTTTCCTGTCAGAACCTCCTCAGACTGGTGGATCCCTAGTGACTGTAACGCTATGCCTGTGAATATGCACTGAGTGTTACCTTTTTAATTCTACCTCATGATACGCTGTGTTTTACACCAGTATTGTGCTGAGCTTTGGACACTCACCTTTCTGTATAAAGGACCATTACCCTGAAGTGACAGACGTGTCACCTCTCCTTGACAGCACCTGTGTTTGGCTGACAGGCCCTGCCTGGCTCTGGGACTGGCAGCTCACCTGGTGAAGGGGTTTGGTCACCTTGATGCTTTTGTAGCGTGTCCAGCAGCTGCATAAAATGACAGAATCTGTACATGTATGCTGTAGAAATGTTACTTAGTTTTTCTGATGACATTTGTAATGAGTTTGAATTAGAGTAAGTAGGTAATCGTAGATTTTGGTCATTCGATTGATTACTCCTTTTCAACACCACCTGGAAGTTTTCCATGAAGGCTTTACCACGTTTTACCTGTGAAGTTCACTTCTCAGTGGCTTACAGCTGACATGCCTCACAGTCATGTGGTGGTGCAGGTGTTTTCAGTTCTCTCTCAGTAACATTACTGAAACAATGAAGTTACGTGTTGGTGAGCTTTGGGTTATTTCTAGGTAGTCAAAAAAAAAAGTTTATCTTCTAGTTTGTTTCTTCTAGTGTTTCAGAAGTTGAACGCTCAGCCTCGAGAAGTGTATAAAATTGTTAAACAACTGTAAGGAAACATTTCCAAGGGAGATGAAGGACTGCGCTGACAGACGGGGAGGGGGTGGCTCGCAGCAGGGGTGTCTGAGCTGGTCTTGCAGCACTTGGTGAACTCCGCAGGGTCTCTCCCGGTGCCGGGCTCTGCCTGCGGAGCGTGGGTGGCTCCAGACCCGCGAGCTCCCCGCGGGAGAACGCCCGGCCGAGCCCTGCCGGGGCTGCTTGTCCTCCTGTCGCAGCCCGTGTGTGCTGAGTGACCTCGCGGGGCTGCCCGAGTGCCCGGGGCTGGCTGGCACCGCGCGGGGCACCGAGGGCACCGCCACACCTTGGGGATAGAGCAAAAGCACAGCGGTACCGACAGGCACACACACGATTGTTTGCACTCTTGGAGCCTTGGGGTAAGGACAGCTCGATGCCTACTACCAGAATTAGAATGTAAACATCAGTTTTTTCGGGAGCGGGGGAGGGGTCTTGGTTAATTTGGTGGGGTTTGTTTTTCTTTGTTTGTGTTGTGATTTTTATTTGGGTAGCACTGATGTGGAGAAGGTTCTGACACCGTAATACTTGGGTCTGTTGCTCTAGGACATATAAACGCTTAGAAAAAAAGAAATACACTTGCCAAATGAAAGCTTTTAGAGAATTTAGTTTACAAGATTCTAAAAAATTGGAGAGAAGGGAAGAAATCAACGACCCATCATATTTTTGACCTGCAGGAAACAGAAACTTCTCATTGGCTGATCTTAATTAAAGGTGCATTTTGTAAAGCACTAAATATCCTCAGTTAAGTATAAGGTTTTTAATACAGACACAAATTGTGCATGTAGAGTATTTTGAAATACCTGAGATTTCATAGTAAAAACTGTAGCCTTTTAATACCGTATATGAAGTATCAGAACTGCTTTGGAAGTATTGTACTTACAGCCGTACAGTAACTTACTGTTTGTGGACAGTTTCTCTTGCTTGCATAATAAACATTTAATAATTCACTGAATCTAAATGTATTGTATTTATGTTAAAATGAGCCGTGCTCACTGGCTTTTACCTGCTCCCTAAAATTAAGAGGAAAAACACCTAGTGCTTAGATGCTGCCATTCTCAAGTGTGTGTGTCACAGCAGTGCTTTTTTCTGAAAGTGACATATGAAGAGTCAAAAGTGACTGAACCTCAGACCCAGGGCTCCACTGTTGTATTTTTACTGGAGTAGCTGGGCACTCAGCAGCTCTGGGCTTGTGCCAAACTCTCACCCTCAACACTTTGGCTTCCCCGACATTACAGGAGCACATAACATCTTCCACAGAGAAACAGGATGCAGATTTTTTTTATTCCATCAAGGAGTGATTAAAAAAAAAAGGTACACTGGTAAAAATCAGATTCTGCCAGTAACAAACATCCAGTAAACATTTTATTTAGATGCAGATAATCACCACTGGGATACAGGAACTCGTGCTTGTGCCCACCCATTGCTGTCTGTGAAGCTCAGGACTGTATGATTACAACACACTGATTAGGATCAAATCTGGAAGACAGGTTTAGGAAATGGAAAACTCCGATTTCAGAAAAGCCATAGCCCCTCCAATACTTAACAAAAGACTAAATTCAAAGCAGTTTCTGAAAGCTTTGCTGCTCCCCATCATCCAAAGTGTTTTGGTTCATATATGAATGTTTAGTTTAATTAAAGAGGAAGCCCTCAGGGACATTGAAACACTTTTTGTTGTGACCCTCATCTAGCCCAGGGTTGTGCTTGCTCTTCTGCCCCTGTATCTATCTGCCCCTTCTCTCTCTCAACTCCCATGTCTCTGTAAGGCAGATTTCTGCCAGTCCTTTTCAGTGTTTGCCTACAGAAGTCCTGAAACACGTCTCTAACCTCACCACCTTTCCTGCCTCTCTGCTTCCAAGGTCATCTTTGGCTTTTTATCTCCACTATACCTACAGACCTCCACTGAAGCAGGTAACCCAGGAATCTCACCTTGCCTGTGCCACTCTGTCTTGCAGAACTGTTAACAGTACACACCAAGCAGGCAGAACCCCGAGTTTTGGGTAAAAGCATCTCATGGTTGGTAATTCCGCAGAGGGAACTGAGAAAAGACAAGACGCGGCAGTGCGAGAAGCCGTGTGCGAAGTGCTTGAGCAGCTGCAGGAGCTGGAGTGTCCTGTGAGCTTTACACACAGGGACACCTCCCTCATCCTGGAGCTGGAGGCAACAGAAAAAAGCAATTAAAAAAAAAAAATCCTCACAAAAAGCAGAATGAGCTCCATGTTTTTTAACGAGGAAGGACACTTTAAAGCTTTAGTGAGTTTGCTGTCCCATTCCTTCCACTTGTCCCTTTTCACAGGAAGGCACACGTACAAACACACACACACACACACAGACCAGCCTGGGCTGAGGTCACACGTTCAGTGCCAGGGCTGGAGGACACGGTCACCACAGGCCACACCCTGCGGTGGCTGTGGCAGGCTGAGGTGCAGCTTGGAGCTCTGCACTTCAGTCATCCCCTTCAAGATCTGTCCTTCGAGCTTTACACAGTGAGGACCAGAAAACAGCTGAAAATGCAGTTCCAAAATCAAGACTTGGAAGATGATCAAGCAATGGAATTGTTTTTCTTCAGCCCCTCCTTGATTCTCATGTTCTAAACATGGGCAGTGGAGTGCATCCCATCACAGAGCATAACGGAATTTTGGGAGTGATACAGACTTTTGTTCTTTTCTCTTTTACACCTCATTCTTTACATCCTTTACATTAGCTCTGTTATGGGTAAACTCACCTGCCAGCAAAGGAATAGTTTAAAAGTTCATCATAATTGCACCAAGGTTTAATGCATCACCATTCACCCCATAAATAGCAAAGGCTGGGAGGAATTACCTGCGCACAGGCACTGCTCCCTGGGACCGAGGACACTGTGAGTGCTGACACCCCAGCAGCAGGACGGGGTCACAGCAGCTTCAGCAGGAACTCGTAGGTTGCATTGATGATCCCCCAGGACAGCACAGAGCGGTGGTAGTTCAGGTGGGCTCCTCTAAAGAGGTGGATCAGTTTCCTGTCACGTTCCAGCCAGATCTTCACTAACACTTTGGAGAAGGACTGAAATTCGCCACCGATCTGAGCTTGCATGCGAGTTTTTACGACATTCACAGGGAAGAAGAGGAAGCCCAGCATGGCGCCCAGCAGCCCGCCGCAGATGAAGTCATTGACCAGGTGAGAGCTGTGTGAGGTGGCTTCAGGCAGACACTGCTTGATGGGCCCCCGCAGGCCGAAGAAGAGCACGTTACTGGGCCCATTTCGGAGCAGAATAGGTACCAATCCCCGGTAATACTCCCGCACCCCGTACGCTTTCAGCACCTTGAAAGCCTGGTAAGTGTTTGTGAACTTGTTGTGGTGTTTGTAGTCCTGGAGCAGCGTCTGGACACGCTCGAAGGGCGTGAGCACGGCCTCGGTGGTGCCGGCCAGCACGGCGGCCGCGCTGCGCGTCAGGAGCTCTGGGGCGCGGGCGTGGCTCAGCAGCAGCGCCGAGAAATCCTCGTAGAGGCCGAACATGAGCGCCAGCGTGGTGGTTTTCTGCATGAGCGGGGGCAGGATGCCGCGGTACAGCGTGCGCAGCCCGTCGCGGCGCAGCTGGCGCACGGCGTCCCCCGTGCGCAGCCCGTACAGCTGCTGCCGGAACAGAACCTTCTGGATGGGGAACGTCACCACGATGTTGGTGAAGGCCGCGCACAGCCCGCACAGGTAGTGCTTGCCCGAGGAGCCCGACGGCTCCGCCGCACCCATGGCGCCGGCGCCTCCTCCCCGCGCCGCAAACAACGCGTGAGACAGCTGTGGCTGGCCCTGCAGCTCTGCCCTCCTCACTCTAACATCCTGCTGGAAAAACGCCCACAGAGGCTGCAGGGGAAAAGCAGCAAAAAGACAGATGCGACGGATGTTGCGCCATTTTTGCTTAAATCTAGGTGACCATAGAAAGCAGCAGTTCTTCCCTTCTGTGCTCCTTCAAATTAAGACAGAAATAAATCCCCCTGGAATTACAAATTCCAACAGTGAAAGGTTGACACTCACGCTAATAAAACACTGTGTGAACACAAGAGAGGCTGCCAAAAAACCTATAAAAAAAAATGAGCGAAAACAAATACACGCAGCAGCTTTACAAAACCTGATCCTTACACTCTGCTTCCTCCCTGTGGCACAAAACAGCAGGCAACAGCGTCGCGGCTCAACTCAGCCAGGAACTGAGCACCAACACCCACAGCGGATGCACAGGTGTCACACAGGTGTGATTTCACTGACACAGCAGAGAGATTCTTTACAAGTCCCACTTCACTGCCATGCAGCCTCCTCCGCATCAGCCCCCACGCTCGACATCCACGTTCTGCTGAGAAGTTTCAGAAGTCGAGTTTAGCTAGGTCCAGGGTCCTGAAGGATGTGTGGACAGAAGCAGCTTGACCAAATAGTCTGGAGAATGACTGCAGGGATTTTTACCTGGCAAACCCTGTTTGACAGAAGAACAGGATTATTTAACAGCTAGGAGAAGATGTTGCTAGACGTGCCCAAATCCCACCCTCGATCACAGCTCATCCTGAGGAAGGTCTGTGACAGCCGTGTGAGGCTGTGGGTGATCCACAGCCCTCAAATCCTCCCCAGCATAAGCAACAGACATGAGACTCCCAGGATTTGAAGGGGCCTTCGGGGACAACAACCCTGCCTGGCATGAGGACCTACTGAAACGAGGAGAGGAGAAAGAAAGGAGGAAGGAAAAGGAAAGGAGGGGCAAGAGAGAGGAAGGAGCAGGGAGAAACAGGGAGGATAAAAAGGAGGGAAGAAAAGGGCGGGGGAGAGGAAGGCAGAGAAGGAAGAGAAAGGATGAGGAAAAGAACGGGAAGGCCGTTTATTCTCCGCAGCTGCCGCTGTCTTTGATATGAGCAGTGTCCCCGTCCCTGGGGAAGCCCTCGCGCTCCTGGTCCAGGAGAGTCCCGAGAGGTCCCGGCCGCCTCCTCCCCGCTCTCGGGCGCGGGAGCCGCAGCTCCGCACTGCCCGCGCACATGCCGGGCCCGCGGCCGCTCCTCCCGGCCCTGCCGCTCCTCCCGGCACCACGCTCTGCCCCGCGCTGCGCACAGCGGCACACCCCGCGCCTCCCGGCGGCTTCCAGCCCCGCCACCGGGGCCCAAGGTCAGTCCGGCGCCGGCGGCTGCGGCCCGGCCGGGCCCAGGGAACCGCGACCTGCTGCTCGCCCGGCGCCTGCGCGGCCCCGAGGGAGCGCTCGGCGGGCGGGCGGGACGCACCTGCGGGCGGTGCTGCCATGGCAGGAGGGGGCCAGGAGCGCACCGGGAGCGCACCGGGATCGGAATCGCACCGGGAGCGCACCGGGAGCGGGATCGCGCACCAAGCGCCCGGCCCGGCGCGACCCCGCGCCGCTCTCTGACGTCACCGCGCCGCCGTGTGACGCCACCACGCCACCGCACAGGGCGGGGCCGGGGACCCGGCAGCGTCAACCACCCACGTGACGCAGGCCACGCCTCTCCGTGCGCTTGCCAATCACACGGCGCTTTTTCTCTGGCCACGCCCCCGGGGCGGGGCGGAAACGAGCGGGCGTGGCTCGGGCCGGGCCGGGCTCAGTTCAGCTCAGCTCCACACGGGGCCAGGGGGGGCCGAGCCTGCTCCGCTCCGTCACGGACCGGGCCGGGCTGGGCTCAGTTCAGCTCAGTTCGGCTCGGCTTAGCTTAGCTTAGCTTAACTCCGCTCTACACGGGGCCTGGGCCGGGCCGGGCCTGCTCTGGTCCGCTCCGCTCCGCACGGGCCGGGCCGGGCCGGGCTGTTTTTCCCTCCCTCAGGCGCTCCCCGGTGGGACCCAGCGCGGTCCCTCGGGCCCGCAGAGCTCCACCCGTGCGGCTCCGCGGTGCCCGCTCCGCCTCTCGCAGCGGACGGGAAGCGCCGGCGGAGTCTCTCTCCCGTTGCGGCGTTGACTTAGTTTTACTGGTTCGGTAGCAAATCTTACTGGCCCGTTTTTATCTCGGTGATAGGCGCTCCACAAGGCCGGGCAGTTCGGCTCGATACCCTTTACCCCGTGGGCTCTGCGAGCGGCGGAGCACGGCGGGGCTGAGGCTCCCCGAGCTCTGCCCGGGTCAGCTGTGCCCTGGACAGGCACTTCCAGCCTGGCTTTGCATGTCCCTGTCGCCATGGGGTCCCTCTGTGGTCAAGGCTTGCCCTTCCTGTGCTGGCTGCAGAACCACTGACGAGAGGACAAGGTGTCAAGCTGTGTTAGGGGAGGTTTAGGTTGGGTGTCTGGAAGAATTTTGTCTCGGGGTGAATAGACATTGGGATGGGCTGCCCAGAGAGGTGCTGGAGTTACTGTCCCTGGAGGTGTTTGAGAGACTGGACGTGGCACTTTGAGCTGTGTTCTAGTTGATGAGGTGATGGTTGGTCAAAGGTTGGACTCCGAGGTCTTTTCCCATCTCAGTGGTTCTGTGATTCTGTGACTGCAGAGGTGCTGATGGAGGTGGATGTCCTGCCTGTGGACCTGTGGTAGCTCCTCCTGTGCCACCCGTGCCTGCCCAGCGTGGGCTGCTGCAGCTGCAGGGCTGGCACAAGCGGTGCCTGGGCTGCCTGGAGCACAGGCTGGCCCAGCCAGCCCGGCGTGGAGCTGTGGTCCTGGAGAGAGGCCTGGCAGCACTGCCTGGCCTCCAAGCCCAGGAGCACACACAGGACCCGCAGTCCTCCAGGCACCTGTCCCTGTTCCAGTGGTGGAGGGGCCAGTGCTGGCCTGGTGTGGGGGTGAGTGTGGCAGCCTGAGGCTGCCCTGGCCACCACTGGCCCCTGTGACTGGCTGGAGCTGCTGTCCACCACACGAGGAGTAAGGTGAGGTGCTGCAGAGGTGGCAGTGGTGGGGCAGGGCAGGCTGGGGCACGTGGTGCTGGGGCCGGCTCTGGCCAGCACTGGCCACAGGTGCCCCTGGCTGCCTGCCCCAGCTGCTGCTCTGGTGCTCCAGCTGCGCACGGGGACCTGTGCAAGCCCATGGGATGTGCTGGGGACAGCAGGTGACAGCAGCCAGCTGCACACCCCTCACACGGACCTGGAGCTCAAGTCTCTGCAGCAGGGGCTGCAGCAGGACAAGCTCTCCACAGGGCTGCATCCTCTGACCTTGCCTTTCAAGGCTGTGAGGGGAGGGCATTCATTTACTCATGAGGGCAGGTGAAACTGGAAGGAAGCATCTTTAGGGACCTGACCCATGCTGGGCACTGCATACAGGACAGCAAAGTCCTGTATCCGAGGCTGCTGTGAACCCTCTTCCCTCTCCCTGCTTCTCCACCAGCTCCTTTCCTGTGGTTGCCCAGCCCAGATGAAAGGCAGGTTGCTGGCAGCTGCCTGCTTCTGCACACATTCTACACATTGTGGTGTAATCACAAGTGGAAATATTAATATGGGGACAGACTGGGGTCACCTAGTCAGATGCATTCGAGCCTGTAAAAGCACAGCTGCAGAGACTGGGGGGCTGCAATATTGACTGCTGGCCATGCCCCTCACCATGGCCAGCCCTGGCTGGTGCTTGCTTCAGTCAGAGGTCAGCTGAGAGGAGGGGATTTTGGTGGGGACACACACTGGACACTGAACTGAGGTTTTCTCTTGGCATCATCTCACCCTGCAGTTGCCCACAGCTCTCAGCTCTGTACCTGTGCCAGACAGGATGGTGGTGACAAGGGTGGGGCACCACCACTGCCAAAATCCCCAGTGCTGGTGGTGCTGGGGGAGCTTGGAGGTTCCTTTCCAGCCACCGACCCAGAGCAGGCCCATCCCCAAGGGTTGGGGCAGCCCAGGGTTTGGGCCCATTTTTCATTCCATGACTCTAAAAGACTGTAGATAGAAGTTTTGGAGGTGGGGAGGAAGGGGAGCATTCCCTGCCCAGCTCAGTGGGAATTTGGTCAGGTAGGAATTACCAGCTGGAGTAGGAAGCATGAATATATATCAGCATATATATATATATATTGGCTGTGAGTGTGGGCTCAGTGCAGTCTGAATGGAAGCACGGCAGACCTGGCCAGAGCTGGGGGTCCTTGCACAGCCCGGGCCAGGGCCAGCTGCACGGACGTGGCCGTGGCCTCCGCAGGCAGCTGAGTGTGCCTGATGGAGATGGGCCATGGCCACATCCCACCGGGCTCCACGTGTGGCTGAGAGACTGAACGAGGCACCTGTCTGGGATGGGCAAATAACAGGAGGTGTAATTTAATTACCTTCTGATTTTGTCAAAGTGGGCTATGCAAAGGCAGTTGGTAATTATTTCTTAACACTTGTAAGATGTGGATTTAAGACGCGATTTTGTTTGTCTGGAATATATTGAACACTTCCGCTGTGTAAATATTTAACTTCTTTCTTGAGGAAGACAGATTGTGATGAGCCTGGGAGGGCGCAGGTGCCCAGGGGCTGCAGAAGGCAGATCTGCTCGCTTTGGTCACATCCTACAGCTGCAGGTCCTCCTGCTGGGGAACAACATCCTCCACTGCAAGGTTCAGGATGTTCCTGGCCCGAGCAGCCTGACCAAGGACAGCAACGTCCAGGCTGGACATTCGCAAGGGAGCCAGGCTCCTGGTGAATATCCCTCCTGCTTCCACACCAGCCCCAAGGGATCCAGGCCTCAGGACAGGTACAGCCCCCTGTTGTCCGCTGTGTTCTTCAGCCTGTTCCTTAGGCTCTTGCTGATGATTGAAGTCCTGCAGCCCCCGGCATCGGCTGTGACCAACCTCAGCATGGCCTCACATCGAGAGGGGACCCTGGGGTCACAAGTGGTGGCCACTGCCCAGATGGGCTCCAGCTCCAGCAGCAGGGTGGCTAGGGGCTACACACACGGGAGCTTCTTCTGTGCCACTCTCTGACCCAGACTGGGGGTTCTCACTGGCTTCTCTGATGTTGTTTCTCCACAGCCATGCAGGGAAGCTGACAGCTCAGGGATGGGGGCCCTCATCAGCCCAACTTCAGCAGCCCCTCACTAAAAAAAGATTGTTTTTACAATCTACAAACAAAACCAGCTGCTTATGTCTCCCTCTTTCCCACTGAGGCAGCTGCTGGGTCAATTTACAAACAGGTCCATAGCGATGCCATTGTGGTTTTTTGCTTTCTTTCTTTTCTCTGTTCTCTGTTATTCGTTGCACATACATTTGTAGCCCGTTGTATTAGTGGCTTGTTTTCCCAGTAATTTTCCATGCCCTTTCCCTAGGCAGAAAGACAAAACAAATTCCACAGCTCCAACCCTGGTAGGTACAAGGCTTTGTGCTGCCTAGATTCTTCCTGGCTACCAAGGTTGAGAGCAGCTCTTTGAGGTCCATTTCATGGACAAAGTACAGCCAGTACTGGGGAGGGCTCCAGAGAAGGGCTTGACTGGGGGTGGGGGTAGAGTTGCATCACCACTTGTCCTCCCAATTGGTGCTTTTTTTGTCAATTATGCTGATTTGCTGAACTTACAAAAACTGTATTCACCCCATGTGGGTGGGCTTTTGTGGACATTTTTCCATAACTGCCCTGAAAGCCTCCAATTAAAGATCCCCGTTTCCATTACCTCCTTATTAAAATTACCTCGAGTTCAATTTCCAGGTTAGGAAAAAGCCAACAATATAGGAAACGTGCTCCTGGCAGGACCTGTGGCATGCCTGGCTGGGCCCCAGCTGGACAAACCCCTGATCTCTGGAGGCCTGCAGCACCATTCCCCTGGGAATTGATCACTTTTGCAGTTGCTTTGTCAGCGACTGTCCGTGTTTGTGCTGGAGGGTCAGGGACAGGCACCGTGTCCCATGTGTCCCTCCAGCAGCCCCAGAAACGTCCCTGTGGCAGCAGCCAGCAGTGTGTGGGCAGAATTAGGACTGAGGTGATCCTCCTCCTCTGCTCAGCCTGGGGTGCATGTCCAGCTCTGGGCTCCTCAGTTCCAGACAAACACACTGGAGAGTCCAGTGAAGATGCTGAAGGGGCTGGAGCATCACAGCTACACAGTGGAGGAAAACAGGGCTGCTCAACCTGGAGCAGGGAAGGCTCATGGACCTTGTCCTTGGCTATTAAGACTTGCAGGGAAGGTGCCCAGGGACAGGCCAGGAGCGCACACGATCAAAGGAGTCTCCCTCTGAACATCAGGACACTGCTTCACTGTGAATTTGTGGAGTTCCTGTAACCAGAGGCACTCCAAAGTCACCTGGACACAGTCCAGGGCACCTGGCTCTGGTGGCCCTGCTTTGAGCAGAGAGGGACTGGAAAAAGACCTCCAGAAGCCCCTTCCAACCTCAACCACTCCTATTTATTACTTGGAGCCTGCAATTCCCACAGCAGAAATGATCCTCTCCCCAGAACACAGGCTACTTGTGTCACTGCTAATGACAGGTGTGAAAAGTGAGTCTTTAAGGTGTGTGAGATTCATAAATCCCAAGAGAATGTACCAAACCCAAATT